TCCATGCTGCCCGAGACCACACCTGCGCGGCCTGCCCGCTTGCGTCGTGCTCCTCGGCTCCATGCTGCCCGAGACCACACCTGCGCGGCCTGCCCGCTTACGTCGTGCTCCTCAACTCCATGCTGCCCGAGACCACACCTGCGCGGCCTGCCTGCCTGCGTCGTGCTCCTCGACTCCATGCTTCCCGAGACTACACCTACGCGGCCTGCCCGCCTGCATCGTGCTCCTCGGCTCCATGCTCCTCGAGACCACACCTGCGCGGCCTGCCCGCCTGCGTTGTGCTCCTCGGCCGCACACTACCCAGGGTCACCGCGGCGCACGCAACCCGCACCCCTAGCAATGGACCGGTAAACGCCCGACAAGAACAGTCTCTCGAAGCCGAAGCCATGCATCAGACTCCCCTTACAGTAACCGATGCATAGCTTCCTTTCGGGGGGGAATATGATGAGGGTAATAATTGCGATAAAACTCACATGACATCAGCTACGCCAAGTGACGCATCACACCTTTGTCAACTTGATGAGGCACCCGGTCAACGCAGACTGGAACGCCTGCCGAGGCACATTAACACCCTGCTCAGGCTCGATCCTCCACACCACGGCAACGATAATGTTAGACGCTACCAGAAGTACGATCCTGCTCCCTGTGGGCAAGCACATCATACAACGGTAATTATCACTGTAAAAACCCTTGTGCATGAGAGGGGAGAAAGGGGAGGAAAGAAGCGGAGATAACTTGGCTAAAAAAGAGCAAACTCCCCACGACCACTCACTAACTTGATCGTCGGAGGGGTCGGGCCGAGCTCCCCGACTCGACCTTTATGCATATGTGAAGCCGAAGGTCCCCACGGAACATTCAGGTGAGGAGTCCTCCCCCGGTGGAAACGGCTACCCCGTCCCGATCGGATCCACGCAGTCGGCCGCCTCAGTCGGCCGCCGCAGTAGTCTCGGGAAACGTCCCAGGGAGATCCCCTATCATTCGGACCCGAACCAAGCCGCGTCGGTCCCGAGGCCATGGCTTAAAGTTGTTTACACTAACAGAACTCATTATCTTTAATTATATGATCGAGTGTGATAGACTAATTCCATCCAAATACTTATAATTACTATATACATTGTTAAGGAAAGGATAAGCAAAGATCCTTGAAGACAGCAAAGATGAATAATCTATGGATAAAATTATTTGTTGCTTTGGAAGTAACTGAGTCAATGGGAATAAAGCTAAATCTACTTTTTAAAATCATCAAATCAAGTCAGTTATTGCATGGATTATAATTCTTATTTTGATCAATTGGCTTCTGTTATAATGGGTTAGAGTTGATTAGTGGAATAGCCAGCAAGGTTTATATCTCATCTATATTTTGACAACATTTAATGTCTATTATTAAAGATTAGGAGCAATTGGTTAAGTAATGCAGATATCTCACTTCTGTGTTAAGAAAGAGCCACAAATCATATCATATTATAAGAAATAAATATTTTTATTTTTTTATAAAAGATAAATTATCAAAAATTTTATAAACTAAATTATTTATATTAACATAAATTGATAAGATTCGGATTTAAGACAATCTTTTTTTCGATATAAAGAAATAAAATATCATTACAATTATAAAAAATGTTAGATCCACTAAAATAGAGGGTAAGTTACTATCCGTTTTAATATTTTTATATATTAGAAACATATATTCTTATGATATATCTATTATAAGTAATATCAAGTTATTATTTATAAGTAATAAGTAATATTAACTATAACTATATATGATTAGAGAGAAACTATATATTCTATGTTCTAAAAAAATATTATTTTAAATATAGACAGTATCGTATTATATGACTTATTTGTAATAAAATATATAAACGTGTCTCACTGAGGCATGTCGGATCGCTGCAGAGGTACCTGAAGACGGTCTTCGAGCACCCCAAGTCGGTAATGAACCACCCCACTTCGTTCCTCTCTTCCCATCCCACTCTCCACTAGTGCCATCTTACCAGCACCTCTCTCTCTCTCTCTCTCTCTCTCTCTCTCTCTCAGGGAGGCAGACGCGGAGTTATTAGGAGGATTTCTCACTCGTTGAGATCTCTCTCTCTCTCTCTCTCTATAATTGCTTTATACCGACAAGGAGTGGGAGGGAGAGAGGGGGAAGCGATCCGATCTTTCAGCAGATCTTGGGTTCCCCTGTTGCTTTTCCGTTGGGCTTGATCGGATCCGACCCGATCCGGTGAGGGCGATGGGACACGTGAACCTACCGCCGGGGCGTCGCGGGCCGGGGGGCCGGCAGTGGACGCTTCTCGACCTCGTCTCCGCCGCCTTCTTCGCCGCCGTGCTCGTCTTCTTCGTCCTTGTATTCACCTCCCTCGGCGACTCCCTCGCCGCCTCAGGCCGTCGCGCCCTCGCCCGCTCCTCCACCGACGATCCCCGCCAGCGGCAGCGCATCCTCGCCCTCCTCGACCCTCCTTCCTCCGCCGCCGGTCGAACCGTCGTCATCGACGCCTGCTCGGCTGAGGAGGTGGACAACATGCCGTGCGAGGACCCCCGCCGGAACAGCCAGTTGAGCAGGGAGATGAACTTCTACCGCGAGCGCCACTGCCCGCCGCCGGAGGAGATGCCGCTCTGCCTCGTCCCTCCGCCCAAGGGGTACCGGATTCCCGTCTCGTGGCCCGAGAGCCTCCACAAGGTGCCTTCCGCCCTTCGCTTCTGCTCCCTCCAATCTGTTGCATTTCATGTTGGTCATGCAGTAGTTTTGGATCTGGTAATTGAGGGCATATGTAGTAAATCCATGCCGATCTTATTTTCATCCAGTGGAGCGGCTATCAAACAGAGCTTGAAGGATTAGATCTAGAGTGAGGAATTGTAGGATAGTTCTCTATGTGCCTATATGCGCTTATATACATTCAAGAAACCACCTTTGTGATATAAATAACTGGAGTTGCAATGACGTTTGTTAGAAATTTTCTTTTAGTTCTCATAGCAACGACTTCATGCATGAATTCATTGAAGTTGTAATCCCGATATGTTGCTGATTACTTGTTGCTTATCTTCATGCAACTGCTGGAAATTCAATTTTTTCAGGCGTAATTACTCACAATTCAGCATTCGCTAAGAAGTCCCATACCAATTGGTTTGTTCATCCTTAAGACACCCTAGCAAGTAATTGCCCAGTGCCATTCCTGTTAACCTCGTATAGTATTTGTAATTAGCATCACTTTCTTGTTTTATTATTGTTAATTGAGTAAACTTGTTATAAGCGTACTACTTCCTGTGCAGATATGGCATGATAACATGCCATATGACAAAATTGCAGAGAGGAAAGGCCATCAGGGTTGGATGAAGGAAGAAGGCCCATATTTTATTTTTCCAGGTGGTGGCACTATGTTCCCTGATGGAGCTGAACAGTATATTGCAAAGCTTGGGCAATTTATCCCTATAAACAAAGGCCTTCTAAGGACGGCTTTGGACATGGGATGTGGGGTAAGAGATCTATTGCTATTGAGGTTATGAAGCTTCTTTCCATGCATGTTTTGTTCTTTTCTCTTGTAATTTAAATTAAGATATATAGTATCCTTATCCATGTAGGTGGCGAGCTTTGGTGGTTTCCTCCTTAAGGAGAATATCATGACCATTTCATTTGCTCCAAGGGACTCGCATAAATCCCAGATACAGTTTGCATTAGAACGAGGGGTGCCTGCATTTGTTGCCATGCTGGGCACTCGGCGACTGCCATTCCCTGCATACTCATTTGACCTTGTTCATTGTTCACGGTGTTTGATTCCCTTTACTGCCCATAGTGAGATTTCTTGTGGCTATAGATGTTCTGTCAAGTGCTTGGATCCACATTTTGGAGTTCTTGTTCATCAAAGTTCTAACATAATCAATGAAATGCAGATGGAACTTATCTTATCGAAGTGGATCGTTTGCTTCGACCAGAAGGATACCTAGTAATATCAGGTCCACCCGTGCAATGGGCTAAACAGGACAAGGAGTGGGCTGATCTTCAGGCCATGGCTCATGCGTTCTGTTATGAACTTATTGCTGTAGATGGTAATACTGCAATCTGGAAGAAGCCTTCTGGTGCTTCTTGTCTTCCTAACCTAGGCAATTTTAGGCTTGATCAGTGCAGTGATAATGATGACCCGAACGAAGCATGGTAAACTTTATGAATTTCTTCATATATATTTACCTGCCATTGGCCACCTTTAAATGATAGGTTACATATTACTCATTAATGTTGAACTTTTTTTGTAGGTATGTTAAGTTAAAAAAGTGTGTCAGTAAAGTCCCCCTTTCATCAGAAACATCTATTGGATCCATTCCTAAATGGCCAAAGAGGCTGTCGAAGCCACCTGCAAGGGTCTCATTAATGAAAAATGGAATTGACGTATTTGACGCTGACACAAGGCGCTGGGCAAGACGAGTTGCATACTATAAGAAATCACTTGGTGTGAAGCTAGGGTCTCCACAGATACGCAATGTTATGGACATGAATGCTTTCTTTGGAGGCTTCGCAGCATCTCTAAGTTCTGAGCTGGTCTGGGTCATGAATGTTGTCCCCGCTAGAAAGCCATTAACTCTTGGTATTATTTATGATAGAGGTCTTGTTGGAGTATATCATGACTGGTAAGATATCTCTACTCTTAATCTTATCGTAGTTGGTATTACTTATTACAGACATACTTATGACATACTTGAATTAACTTTGTTTACATGCTAGAATCCTCAGGCCCGACCAAACTCTGTAATTTGTTTTTCTGGCAGTACTTTTTGGGGGAACATGCTTATCCTATATATATGGTGATGTAGAAAGTGTTTCTTCCAGTTGATCGTGGTTTATCTTTATTGGATTTGTTGATTTAGAGTTATGCTTCTCTTATATATATTTATAGTTTTGGCAACATATGAAGCACTCTAATATCTAGACATAATGGTGATTTGTTTGTGGTGCTAGGTGTGAAGCTTTCTCCACTTACCCAAGAACCTATGATCTCATTCATGTGGCTGGAATTAACTCTTTGATAAGAGATACTTCAGGCAAGAACAGGTATGTGGAATTTGATTGTCTAAGTGTTGGTAACAATCAATATGAAGAAGTTGGTGGACATGAAATACAATTTTTTTTTGTTTATTTAATATCAGTTACTGAAAGACTCAGCTACTATAGGTTTAACTCTATAACTAACCATCTATGAGCTTTACACAATATGCTTGTCAGTAGGGGTGAAAGCTAATGGGGTAAAATCTGCTCACAATGGGCCTGTAACAGATGCCATTTCAAGTAGATAGGTTTTTGAAATATTCCAATTTGATAACATAATATATGAATTCAGATTGGAATTATGAATGCAAAGTGGAATGATAAATTTGGAGCTGGATTCAGATATTTGGATTTGATGAACTTGAAAAGGAAACAAAAACATAAATATTTTTTGGTCGTATATATGGATATTTTTCTCTATTCATTTAACTACTCAATACTCGATATCAACCATAATCTTCACTGTTCCACATCATAAGTCTACACATGAAGTTTGATAGCACCAAATCTAATCCAACTATCTGTGTTTACTTTTCTGAATGCTCATACTATAAAGTCATTCGAATTGGAATTTGAACATCTGTCCCATTGTTGAGAATAAATGTGGCTGCACTTATATCACATATTTTTGAAACCTATCTTTAATGTATAAACAGGCAACTTGGGTAACCCTACTCATACATTTCTCTATCAGTTTTTTCAAGGGAGTGGATTCAGCCAAAAGTGGATTCATATCCACATCTGACTTGATGAAGGATTCATACCCTTATTTAAAGTCTCTGATAGAGTAGTGATAGTCTTACCATTATCTCATTCTTTTTTCTTTAGTTTTGCATTCCATCCGTCTGCCTAAACCACCATGACAATTGCAATTTAGACTTGTGCATTTCATAGTTTGGTTGCAGATAATGTACGATACAAAGCATCCATATAAAGGTGAATAATAAAATACCCTGTTGTGTTAAAGAGTTCATCTTGTTTGTTTGTGCTTTTCCATGAAATTGATATGATCATTCAATATTAAGGATGATGATCGATGGCAAGCAAGGTCATTCTTTGGTTCTTTTCAAGTATCATTTACAATGTCAGAAGCAGCCAAGCAACATGCCTTAGACTAATTAAATTGTCATGACCGGGTTCACTTGTCACAGGTGTAGCTTGGTTGATTTGATGGTGGAGATGGATCGCATGTTACGTCCAGAAGGAACTGCTGTGGTGAGAGACTCACCAGAAGTCATAGATAAGGCCGCACACATAGCTCGTGCAATCCGGTGGACTGTCCATGTGCACGAGAGTGAGCCAGAATCGCGTGCCGGCGAGAAGATTCTGGTGGCAACCAAAACATTTTGGACGTTGCCTGCAACCTCCAGTTGATATGCTAAAGATGATCGGTTTTTCCCTTTAATTTTCATTTTTGTGGATCAGGGAGGGGAGAAGCAAATGTAGCTATTCGAGTAATGATGTTAGGAGATGCAATTAGCTCCATTTACATATTGTTTATGTTCCGCATTGTAAGATGAACCAAGTAGCAATTCAAGTTTCGCTCATTTCTATTTTTTTTTCTCGAACTGCAAGGGTTTGTTTTCCTGCACGCATCAAACTTGTTTCAGACAGGTGTACCATCTGATGAAGTACTCAATCCAAATCCAAGATGGAACCCTCATTTTTTTCTCATCGATCATATTGTGACAGGAAAAACATGTTAATCTTCATCTTTCGACTATTAAGTATTATGACGGCATAGTAAACATGTTAATGCATGTTTATGAAGTCAAACACCTGATCATAGATTTTCCTGGATATCAGAATTGTAAGAACTTGCTTCCACACGCATACAAGACAATATACACATGGGAATATATTGAAAGAATTGTAGACCATAAAATTACATCCACCTCCCATATGATGGTAGAACCATGTGGTCTATCACTCCCAACACCCAGTGATCTTTCTCAATCTGCTTGCTGCGAACCTACAGGTAAGCGGAATGTAACATGTCACTCGAGCACGCATATATCCAATGTGTTATGAAGAAAAAGAAAAACCCAAGTGGATAACTTCTTCATTCTTCAATTTCTGCAGCTCCACCGAGATGTCGGTAAGCAACTCAAATAGTGACACCAGTGGCAATGATCATTCCCATTGACTCCTCGAAATGGCATTACCAAGCCAACAATCAATCTGAAAACAATAAAAATGTCGACTGATGTAATCAGTGACAATTTTATCTTTGTGGTTCTCAAGAGAACCACAAATATAAAAAAGTATTCGCAAAGGCATCTTTCAGTTACATATCAATCTGATTCTATGAGCAAAAGATGAAGTTGCTAAAATTTAACCTTGATTTTAGGAATCAAATGGGCAATGAGTTGTAACCTTAATTTTCCCATGCATAGATATAAGCAGATAACTGGAAGCAAGATTGAGAATTTAATGCATGAGTGCCTTCTCCCATCATTTGATTTCAATTCCATTTTATCATGTAAGAAAATGCTGCTAAAGTAGGATGTGCCCTTTAATATAAGGCTTTCTTTTCCTTTCTTTTCTTCAACATCATCCCGAAATATGATTGTCATTTATAAAATTCAAATCAACAGCAAAAACTATAGAACTAAAAAAAACTATCAGAGGCTTTTTATATTGTTTAACATCATTCAAGAGTATCACTGCTATTTATAGAATTCGAATCAACAGAAAAATCTATAGCACTTAAAAAGGTTATCATAAATGCATCCTTGATAACTTGCAAGAATATCCAACTAAAGAAATCCCAGAAAATATTCCTACGGACCCTCAGTTAAGAGATATCTATCGTTACAAATGCCACTCTTATCACTACAAATGCCAACTCTGGCAGCAATGTCCATTTCTCTCTACCTCTCTAACTCCTATTTCCTATATATATCCGTGCTTTGCACCTCATAAGGACACTTGAAATGTAAAGTTGCTTTCTGTATAAGAAAGTGATTGAAAAGGAAATCAACTGAAAGCAGGAGTATGCTTATGAATTAAACACACTAGCATCAAAGATATCCAAACTTCCCCTAGCTTATTTTATAATCCATCTCGTCTCAAAGTTCAAAGCAATAAGGTATCTATTTTTACACAGTCCCATTACCTTAACCCCTGTGAAGTGCCTAAAATTTTATTTGGACTTGATTAGTTCGTAAATTTCCAAACTCATCTTCATTGCCAAATTCCATATGGTAATCACTTCTAGTAATTCTAATTCTACCTGATTTTCTTCTTTTGATATGGCGCAATTAGATATTTCTCAACCTATTTCCATTATTTTAAATGGAACTAATTACATTCATTGGGCCCAAGCTATCCGTAGTTTTTTGAAAGGATGAAAACTTTAGTGCTATGTTACTGGTGGTATTCAATCACTAGTTAAAGATAATTCAGAATCCCCAAAAGCATTGGAGGATTGTCTTAAGGAATGGGACAGTGGCAACCACAAGATTATTACATGGATCACGAATACTTCAATTGCATCCATTAATATGTCATTTGGTCGTTTCGGTACTGCAAAAGATCTTTGGGAATTTTTATCTATTCGCTATGCTTCAGGAGATCTAGCTCAACAATATCAGATCCTCACCAGTCTACATCATATGAAACAATCCCCAGGTCAGTCTGTTAATGAGTTTTATTCTCAAATGGTGTTTTTTTGGGATCAACTTGCTTTGTTTGAGCCTCAATGGCAATGCAAAAATGATGCTACACGATTTGGTACATATTGTGATAGATTAAGATTAAATCAGTTTCTAATGGCTTTAACTGATGATTTTGAGCATGTTCGGGCCTCTTTGCTTTATCATAAGGCACTTCCTTTCTTAGATGTTGTCCTTTCAGAAGTCATATCTGAAGAAACAAGAACCACATTGCATGCTCGTCAACCTATTCCAAATGAGACAGTTCTTGCAACTGCTATAGCACCATTCAAATATAAGACACAATCATACCTCTCAAAGCAAGCAAACCAAACAAATTATTCTCAGAATACAGAGTATAAAAAGCCAGTTTGTAGATATTGTTGTCAGATTGGACATATGATTCAAAATTGTCCTAAACTTGCTAAAAAGATTGCTGTAGTTGCAACTAATGAGTCTTCATCCATCAGCCTAAAACTTACTGCCACAGATGTTGAAGCCATAGTCAACCAAGTTCTATCGCGTGCATCAATTCATTCTGCCTCTACAGCTTCTGACATGTCACGTAATACTATTTGGCTTCTTGATTCTGCATATTCAAATCAGATGACATCAGATTCTTCAAAATTCTCTTTTAAAACTCCTACATCCAATATCCCTAAGGTTCACACCGCTAATAGGACAACACTTCAGGTCATATTGGCTCAATTTTTACTTCAAATCTGACAATTTCTGATACATATCTTGTCCCTGAACTTTCATTAAATTTATTATCAATTGGTCGATTATGTGACCTGTGATTTGATGTTCATTTTTCTTCTACTAGCTGCATTGTGTAGGATCAACAAACCCGTCAGATCATTGGGACAGGCCGTTAAGTTAGATGTCTATTCTTCCTCACTTAAACTTCATATTCCTTCTGCATATGCTGCATCCACTCAGAAACTATGAAACCCATACCATTGGATTTGTGGCATTCTCGATTAGGCCATACTTCACTTTCTCGATTATGACCTTTAGTCACCAGTGGTCAATTAGGACCAGTTTCTTCTCATTATTTTCAATGCAGGTCATGTCAGATGGCAAAACAAATGGCTCTTCCATTTTCTATTAGTGCTTCCATTGCTTCCAAACCTTTTGATTTAGTTCATTCTGATGTTTGGGGTCTATCACCTATACCTACTATGGGTGGATCTCATTATCTTGTCATTTTTGTTAATGATTTCTCACTTTACATGGATTTATTTGATGCATAACCAATGTGAGCTATATATATATATATATATATATACGCCTAAGAATATAAATCTAGAGAGTTGTGTTCTCTTCTTCATCAACATGGAACTATTTCAAAATATTCATGTCCAGGAACATCTCAACAAGATGGACGAGCAGAATGAAAGCTTAGAAACATTTTAGACTTTGTCCGTGCTATGCTTTTTTCTATTTCTGCTCAGAGACCTTTTGGGTGAAGCAACTCTTACAGTTGTATATGCAATAAATCATAATCCATCTTTTGTTATTGTTCAACAATCATCATATGAGTGACTTTTAGTAAAACCCCTAATTATTCAATCTTCAAAATTTTTGGTTGTGCTTGTTTTGTCCTTCTGCAACCTCATGAGCATAATAAGTTACAATCTCATTCACGATTATATTGTTTTCTTGGATATGGAATTGAACATAAGAGGTATAGATGTTATGACCCTATTTTTAAACGTATTCGCATCTCCCGTCATGCGATCTTTTGGGAACATAAAATGTTTTTGAATGTCTTCTTTAATGTGTCTATCACTAGTGAGATCCACTATTCACAAATATCTCATGTGATCTTTTTCCTTTGGATGCTCAATCTGATGGTCCAACTATGGTTGTTTTTGATACTTTTGATATGGTTGTTAGTTCTGACACATTAGACACAAATCCTTATACCATTGTTCTTCATCATTCTAAAACAATATGTGAACCCTCTACTTGTTTAAAAAATTTTCATTGTTACTATGTTCTTGCTACTCTAACCTTGTTCTTTTCATGAGGCTTCCACTAATCCTTCTTGGCAAAAGGCTATGAATGAAAAACTTGAAGCACTTGTCAATACTCAAACATGGGATTTGGTTGACTTAGCTTCTGGAAAATCTATAGTAGGATGCAAGTGGATAGTTCCATGGATATAACTAATGTGATATTTTCTGTGGTTAAATCATAATCTTCAATGTCCATAATTCTCTCTAGAATAATCTAAGTCGCTAGAAATTGGGTTTGCATGTGTGCCAAGTAAAACATATTGAATGGCTTGTCAAAAATCATGTGATAAGGACATCTAACTAAATTCTTTCCCAGAAACATCAAATCCATCCATAAATGTACAATTTCTCATAAAAAGGGAACAGAACCTAGTAGCAAGTACTGTGTTCCAAGTTACACTTGAAAATAACTAAGGTATGTTCCATAAGGAGAATGATAAAACAAAAGCATGGTAACAATCATAAAATCTGTGACATGCATAGAAACCCAAATCAGTAAAGTTCTAGTCTGGCAATGCTTACCCAATTCCTAGCAAAATCAGTGACATCACCCATAATATATACTGATATGCCATGTATTTTGATTTAACCCGGTCTGTAGGAGGCAGATTGTGGCCTTCCAACCAACCAAACTGAGGCTGGATCAACAATACAAAGCCAAGGAGAAAACCTGTCAAAAATCCTCCAATGTGGGAATAATTATCAACATGTGGCAGTATTCCAACAGCCAAGTTGAACATGATGATGACCAACAGAGTGAACAGAGAAGAAGCCTACAAAAAAGATGATGAAATAAAACCATTTAACATATAACTTCTAAGGGAATAATAAGCTCGATAACAACACTTGTACCTTGTTTGTATAAATGGTCCAGTTTGTGATTAG